GGGGGAGGCGGTGCCGGATTCGCCAGCAGCCAGGGCTGGAGGGAACCCTCGCCTCGAAAATGTATCCTTGAGACGCGAGAGGGAGCGGAGGCGCGGAGGCCGTGCTGCTGGGGTGGGCCGGGGTGTGGCAGTGCCGCGTTACGTGGCCGAAAGGCCTGGGAAGACACGCCGTTCCGTCCCGCTCCGTTGGTAGCGGTAACGGAAAGGGTGGCACCCCTTCCAGGCCCAGGGGCCGGCCGGGGCAGCGGGCCCTGCTTCTCAAGGAGAGGAAGCCGCATTACTGCCACGACCTGGCTTGCAGCCTGGCTGACCAGTCCCGCGTAGGGAAAAAGAAAAAGCGTAGCCTGAAACAAAGCCTTAGTCGATTGGATCCCAGGCGGCTGCTTTGCTAGCCCGAAGTGCGAGTATTGTGAAGCGGGGTCAGCCTTTGGTGCGGCAGTTTTAATGCATATAATTAAAGTGTTAACAAGCAACCCCATAGCTTGTTAATTTCCCGTATTGGGCAATGAAGGATCCACTGTTTTTTCATTTTAGCTTCCAGCCCTCCAGAGGCTGTTACACATAGCTAAAACTAACTTTAAAGCTAAACCTAAGTTGAACTGGGACTATACGCACAAAATGCGGCTTATATGGGAGTTTAGGTAACATAGGAAAGCTCTATTTATAAAGCCATTGCCGACATTCCTTGTAGGATGTTCTCCATGATTGCTCTTAGATTTGGTTAGGTGACTTTTAATACAGTTCTAATATTTCCTGCTTTTAAGAGTAGGAAATGTGAAAGTGATGGAAAAAACTCTTTTTCCAGGTTTGCTATAGAAAAAAACCCATAAAGATCTGGTGCCAAGTGTAACTGAAGTGCAGCCTGGTATTGAAACTTGATGTAGCTGCATTATTGCTTAAGTGAAAATGTAGACAAGTGTGAAAAACACTGAGCAAGAGAGCTAGTGGTTAAAACCTATTCTCCAGAATCTTATTATTTTATTGTCCTCTGTACCAGTAGCCGAAGGATGCGCGTTGTTTGCTTGACTGTGCTGGTTGATCCCAGGAACAGGAATTTTTCCTACTTCTGCCAGCACTTAAGGCTTTGAAAGCTACTCATTGGATACTGTGTTACTTTAGATACAAGATTGTTTATCCATGTCATTAAACTTTTAATGTGGGTGAAATATGTAAACTAGTAATGAAGAGATGTTTTTATTTAATCTCATCTGGTAAAGTTAGAGCATTACTTCATAAGAACTTTTCATTCAAAGATCTTATCTCAAGAGGCAGTGAGTGAAGATGCGATTTGGCCAGGGTTGCACAGTAAGACGGTTCTAGTGCTGAAAATAGATTTTTTTTTTTTTTAAAAAGTCTGTTAATTTGCAGTGTTGCTCTAAGTACCAGAAAATGGTTACTTTCTGTGTAATGAGTAATTTGCGGACAAACATATTGATCATCTTAAACAGACCTTGTTTGTTTGTGATAATACTTGTTAATACTCAGTCTTCTCCCTTTTAATTAAAAGAGCATTCAGAAACCAATAATTCCATTTTCAAACCAAAAGCAGAAAATGAGGAAATCTTTTTTTTTCTCTTGATACTCAAGATGCACTCTTCTGTTTAAATGTGATAGAGAAGGTTCTAATACTGTTGCTACTTAATGAGTGACATTCCATTGGTTATGGATCATATAGTTCAGGAAGGCCCATGGTTTTCCTTCAATGTAAGTTCTTTTCAGTATTTTTCATATCCTTGCCACCCAAAGGAGTTGGTATTACAGTATTCCTAAACATTGAAGTACCTCCATGTTGCTAATATTGATGTAGTAGGGACATAGTTCATGGGCATGTGACTTCAGAAGAGACCTTCACATCAACTGCTACAAGGAGGCAAGTGGTATTTGGAATTCTCCCAGGAAAGTGAAATGTTTAAGTGTCTGCTAAGAGAGAGAGGTGGCTGTTTTCTTTATCCTTGGAACTAGTACTTTGCACAGTGCTTCGTAGAAGTGTGTGTGTATAAATGGAGTGAATGACACAGTGGAGCACTTCAAGAATTCTTGTTACTTTTCTTTGGATATTAGCTTTCAATAGACTTTTTTAATTCCTAGCAGCTTTAACTTGAAGCTGTTAGATAGTCATTCTGCAGAAATTGTTGCATAGAGAATTGTGGGATTTGGAGTCTGAAATATGGGAGCGAAATAGGACTTTCTGTTCTGTTGAATTCTGAACTCTGTGATTCCCGCTGTACGTTTTTCCCCAGTTTCGTTAGTTGGTCTCTTTTTGATGGTAGGATGAAGTTTCTCTTGAGTTGGTTGAAGAATAACTGTTGTTTTAATGGTTACGTGCCTGTCTGTCTTTCATAGCACTCCATGTAGTTTTACATTCTGTGTGTAGAACCACATATAAATGCAATTTTCTACATCTGTGAAACACAGAATTTCTGCTCAGTTCTCATTGAGGGAGCTCTAGCAATTTTATTATTCTGAGCACAAAAAAAACTTTTCAAAGCTTTGTCTTTTTACCCAACTCTAGATGATTCCAGAAGCTATTGAAGTGTTTCAATAATAGTTAGACTTATTTTTGTAAATTATGTTATATCACTTAATTAGCTTCAGACTTTCCTGCGACTCACAAAATCACTACTGTAGTTGTCTTTTTGGAAGTAGAAATATGTTGGAAGTGAATTTGGTGAATATGCTTTTTGTATAATTGGTGTTATACTGCACACAGCTCTTAGTGTTTTCAGCATATTTGTAGATTGTTTGATTGCCTTCTGGATTTTATGTAGTTTATCTTTATTAGTTTCTGCTTTTTGGGTTGAAGCTTAAAGGAAGCATTGTGTAACAAAACATTTCCTGGTACTACAGAACTTGATTTTGTAGAATACATACGAACGTTCTTCATACTTAGGTTAGAAGTTAACATAGTGAAAGATCCAAGCTGTTGATGCATGTTGTGAGCAGAAGACAAATATAAAGTTATCTTCCTCTGGATTCAGTGTGTCTGCATTCAGAGGACACTTATTTTAGCTTTTAGTTTTACTCCATTTATTGTTTTAAGAGATGATGTTGATGAAAAAGCATTTCACATAACTGGGTGTGAGTCAGCTGTTATCACAGCGGGGTTGATACTGAAAGTAGAGTGAGTCAAACCTGACTTGGTATCCTAAAAGATTTCCCCTCGAGCATGATTATTTTACAGGGTAGTTTAGCTTTCCAAGTGTTAGGTTAAAGTGAGAGGAAGTGAACCTCTAATAGTGACAACTTTTATTCGGGATACAGTTGCCTGAGAATATTTCCATTGCCTGCCTTGGACAACATGTTGTCAAGAAAAATCTGTCACTCGGGCATGCACAGATAACCTTTTCTGAGTAATTAGTAATTCTCAATCCTCTTTTTAACATTTTTTGAATGTTTTGATTCCCAGTATTTAGCCACCATTTTTTTTTATTCCGTTCAGTTGTTGATTATTCTGTGCCTTGCCTCATTTGTTGAGCTATACTAAGTGCAGTGTGTAATTGGGCTATGTCCAGACTTGGCATTTTATGAAAGGATAAAATGAGTGAGAATGAATTTAACCTGTTTTTGGAATGTCAGATGGGGAGTCAATACTTGAGTTACGAACTCTGGAAGTCCAACTTACTCTTTGTGGTGGGGAACCTTCTCAGCATTACAGCTGTTGTTTCTGGGAGCATGGTATGAGCAAGTGACAAGACTTCTCAGCAATTTATGAAATTCCTGTCATAAGTAGGATATTTTAAATTGTTGGTTTGAGAAAATGTTTATTTAAGCTATCAATATATAATAATGTCTACATCTTTTGCATGGTGCTTGTATTTATAAAGGATATTTTTCAAGCTAGCCTTAAGGTAAAATTAAAATATATGAGAATGATCTTAAGTTCTGTTTGTCATAATTTAGTCTTCAGTAGTAATATCGCCACTGTTTTAAGGTTATACGTGTTCTTGTCTTAGTTTTCTTGACCAGTAATTCAGCCAAAACTTTTGGAAGATCCCCATCTAGGAAGCAGAACTACTCTTCAAAAAATGAAAACTCTGTGGAAGAAAGTTTTGAGGATCTGCTCTTGAAGTATAAGCAGATACAGTTAGAGCTTGAATGCATTAATAAAGATGAAAGACTGGCTTTGAGCAACAGGGAAGAAAGTGAACAACAAGATGATGATAAAACAGTGGACAATGAGGACCAAGTAACTGTAGAAAATGACAGTATTACAGCAGATGCTATAAAAGAAGTATCTCCTGAGGAGAAAAATCCGGTTATAGCCTTTCAGGCATTTGAACTGAAACCTCTTAGACAAAAACTGCCTACTCCAGCTGAGAGGAGCAGATTAAAAAAAGGCAAAGAAGGAGCAAAACAGTCATCGCAAAAATCTGAAGTCACAGAATCTGGCCAAGGTAAATACTAGTAAAGTTGTTTTAGCTTGTAAAGTCCTTTTTGCTTGTCATTATCTATCTATATCTATCTATCTATATTAGGTGTTGGAGAAAATTTTACTTTAATTAAAATCCTAACTTTAATTAAAATGTTAAACGTTTTAAGTTATAGATTTAATGTACTTAATTCTGTTTTTATGTAATTCCTTGAGTTACATGAACGTGCTTGGAAGCATGTGTTTAGTTTGGTTTTGTTTTGTTTTTTTACTAGTGTGTTTTCTCAGACTAACTGGTAGTTTGGCAGAAAGCATGAGGACAAGATTTGAAGGTTTTAATTGCTGTTCACAGCAGAAATAATTTACTTTCACTTAAAGTTTTCCTTCTGTTTTTCCCTTGTTCTTCATTGCAGAAGCAAAATGTGGTTATTTTTTTAGCTGAAAAGATGGCACTTAGAAACATCTTTTACTGCATTTCATTTTTAAATGTTTTCTTCAGTGTAACAAGTCTGTATGAGATTTTCACCAGCATTATTTTGTTCATAATTGATATTCATGAACAGTGATGAAATCATAGGCCAGAAATAGAAACAATTTGTAGAAGAAATGTAGCTGAAGGGGTAGAGTAAGTATCTTGTTCAGGTAGATCTGGACGGCAGGCCAAAGAGGATAATTGCTCAGATGCGTGAAGCCGTTAGTGGGAAACAAGTTATGTCTAGCTGACCTGCAATGAAGTCCTTGACCTTACTTTTAAGTCTGCAGCAAAATAAGGCAGCTAGCTTTAACTTCCTCTTCTGAGGCTTCATCTAGTTCTAATAAGCGTTTTCTGTCGTTGAGGGTGTGCTTGTGGTTATCACTTGTCATCTTAATGTTAGCTAATTTGTCAATGTGTGTAAACTATCTGTTTGAGTGGGAAGAGACAAAGTAGTAAATGGATGGGTTAAGAACACAGGTGAGTAATTAGTAGGAATATGAAGAAAGGTAGGACTAGAACACTGGAAGTCAGAATGATTTACGTGTACCTTCAGAACGGGGATTTAGGAGACAAATCCTGTAAAGAAACTGAGATTCTGAATTCTATGATTCTAACCTTTTTTTTTCCTTTTTTTTAATTAACAGGAAAGACAAAAGGGGGAAAGAAAAATCTAGAATGAGGTGGTTTGACTACTAATTACCAGTTTTCAGTTAGTAGTCAAACCACCTCATTCTAGATTTTTAAAAAAAGGGTTCTAGTATTCTTTAAGGGGTAATGTAGTTTTAAATGGGAGACAGGAGGAAAAACAACAGAACTTGACTGTAGAAGAAAAAACAGTAGCCTGCAGGAAGAGAACATAGCAAGGCAGGAGTAAAAGCTTTTTAAAAAATAAAACAGTCTCAAAGAAATATCCAGCTTCAAAACTGAGAAGCACTGAAGTTGAAAATACAGCTCATAAGATACTGAAAATAGATGCTATAGCATGCACATTAAAAGCATCTTAATTTTTGCACACCACTCAAATGTATGACATAAAAATGATCTGAAGGCACAGATATTATGTATGCGAGTGATTGTTTATGACTATGTAGTACAGGCTTCCAAAGTGGAAAAACCCAGCGGCTTTCAGTTATTGCAGATTCATGTGTGTAAAGTGAATGTATACTACTTGATTATGCATGTATTAGGAAATTAGGGAAATTTGTTTTTCCCATTATATTAATTTTAAATGATGTACGGGATATTTCACCAGACCTGTTCAAGTTGGATAACTTGTCTTAAAACTCAAGGAAGCTTGTCTGGAATTAATTCTCTGTGGTTCAGTTCTGACAAGAGGCTTTACAGTATCCCCTGCTTTCCTTACCGTGTTACCCATTAGTCTGTTCTGCCTGTATTGTCCCCTTCTGGTTTGAAAGAGCATTTCAGTTTGTGTAGTATGTCCCTGCGTGTGTCTGCATCACAAACTGCTGTACCATCTGTGCCTCCATACTTCTGTCCTGTGGACTGAATGGTTAGGATCTTTGCTTAGTGTAATAATAGCTTTTTTTAATTTTCTTTTAGAATATGTGTGGGTATTAGATATTATTTTTCTTCCTCTTATATGTGTGCTTTAAAAAACGCGCATGTGCAAGCAGGAAGACCTTCAGCATTTGCTACGTAGTATTTTCCCTTAGGTGTAAGGTCTTGGTAAATTTTAAACAGCGCCTTTCTGAATGTGAGTTTTTGTAAAGTGCTAGAAAGAGTAAAAGCTGTATGGAGTGCAAACTTAATTTCTGCCGGTTCGAATTGTGGGAAGGAATCTGTCTTTGAAGAAGGGCTAATATACGAAAAGGTCTCCAATTTTCTCCCTAAATGTTTATTTCCTTCCTCTGATGCACATAAACATATATGTATGTGGTTATTTATAAATGATATAAATATAATTTTGCTATCAATTATATTAATAGTTATTAGCTATAATAATTATGTAATACTATATAATACACATACAACTGTGTTATGTAGCATTAAGTATGTGTTAGTGTGTAACGCTGTGTAATCAGAGGGATATATAGGTTTTGGGCAGTCTAACAAATTAATGTGTCAATGTCTTGATGTTTAGCAGGAAAGCATTATTATTTGTTTTTCCTTTCCATAGGATAACTCTTTTCTATTTTCCTTTGGCATGAAATGGAACAAGTGTGTTCTTAGTGCAGCTTTGGGCCTTTATATTTCGTTCTGCAAAAGACTGATCAGTTACTCAAAATAGCTGCCAGTGGAATCTGAGACACTCAGGACAGCAGCTGATATGAGATGGTAGCATAAAACAGATGGCAAGAAGTCATCTTTTCCCCTGTCTCCAAATCTTTTTTTTTCTGCTTCTTGGGGAAGTATGTGTCAACCTTAAGACAGAGAATTATTAAAAAATGACAAATCTTGCCTTAGGCTTATGGCATCATGGTGATGTAGATTTCATCAGACATGCCAAGTTTATGTTGTTAGTTAATGTGGTTTTATACAGACAACTGCTATTCTGTTTTACATTATGTACCAATGATACTAATAAAATATGTTTGTATGGATTAAATTCTGCACATCATTTTAATGTAGCTCTGTCTCATGAGAAACAGCTCTCACAAATATGGTATTTTTTCTTTTGGAAGGTGCAGAAGACAAAGAACAAACATCAGTGCGAAAACTTAGCAGTTCAGATGTTACGTCTGAAAAGGTAAGAAAGTTTTTGTCTGTAGATGAGGCATAATTGCATTATGATACTCTGATTGCTTTTTCCCAATTACAGTTCAGAAATGTTTCAGTGATAGAAACAGTCCATTCTTAAGGAATGACACCTGCTAGTACAGTAGGATTTTTAAGCTTTCTTGTAAAAAATTTTGGGGCAGACTTCAAAAGACCCTTTCAAAAAAGATGTAGTTATTAAATGATATTTCTTCACTTTTTGTCTTATCCTTTCTTCTCTTTTCTTCTCAAGAAGCTGCTTGATGATGAGGAGGAGATGTCTGAATTGCAACTTAGGCTTCTTGCACTTCAGTCTGCTAGTAAAAAATGGCAGCAAAAAGAACAACAGGTGATGAAGGAAAGCAAGGAAAAATTAACAAAAACGAAAAGCGTAACACAGAAAGTCAAAGCCAGTACAAAAGCACATTCAACCAAAAAAACTAGTGCTACAGGTAATAAGTTTAATGTTACTGAAATGGCTACCAATGGCATGACCTCTGAAATAAAAAGTGTAGTATGTTGTGTGGAACATTGGGCAATGAGCTTTTAATCCTAAAACACCGTACGTCTACTCGAAACTCTTGAAGAATGTAGGATTAGGAGGAACCATTTAGGTAAGATGGAGTTAATCACATAGCTTTTTATTTTAAAGCTAAGCAAGGTTTGAGGAAACAACAGACATCAAAGAAGATGCAGCAGCAAAAGGAACAAGACAGGCGTCAGAAAGAGGAAGACCAGAGGAAACAAGAAGAGGAGGAGAGAAGAAAGAGAGAAGAAGAAATCAGAAAAATTAGGGACCTCTCAAATCAGGAAGAGCAGTACAATCGATTTATGAAGCTGGTTGGAGGAAAGAGGAGATCAAGAAGCAGGGTAAAAAAATCTATTATATGTTGTTAAAGTGTTATATTTGTGATTCGTGGGTCATTTCTGTCTTTATGCCCCTCCTGGTTTTACGTCCCTCGTCCTACACCACCCTTCCTTAAAAAAAAGAAAGAAAAGCTCAAAGTATTTCAGTGTTTACGGTATTGTAATCCCATGCTAGGCAGGCATTCCCTTTGGGTGGTATTGTAATCCCATGCTAGAGAGGCATTCCCTTTGGGTTTGGTAACATCAGTTTTGTACGAGTTGTATGTTTGCAAGTCAGTGGTAAAGCGTTTCCCTTCTAAAGATATTTTGAATGTCGTGATCAAGGAGCAGTCTGTATTTTAACACAAACCAATCAACAAGATGTTCTTGGCTTTCTTATCTTGGATTGTAGTTTTGTCTCCACATTTTCAAAGTTTCTGTGTCATATTATACAACTTCAGTGGCCTGCTTCTTTCAAAATGTCATCTGTGGTTTGGTTTCTTTGTAGTATTGTTTTAATTTGTCGAGGTACAAAATATGCCCAGATGCAAAAGATAATTAATTATTTCAGTCTCATTACAGGATGACAGAATTGTGTCAAATTTATGAAGGGATAGAGTTACTGCAGTGGCCATCATGCTGCACTTGCAGGCTGTCTTCATTCTCTCATCTTAAGATTAGCAAAAGTCACTTGAATCACAAATGTTCTGTCTCTTAAGCATGGGTACGTTACCGAGAAAAATGACAGTGTGTCTTCAGCTTTAATTCTTTCATCATGGAATCAGTACAGCTGCTGTAGCTAGATGCTTCAAGTGCTTGGAGCTACTGATGCTGTAATGAGAAGTGAAACGGCAGCTAAGGAAATTGGGACTCCTTGCTTTAGGTCGTGTTATAGAAGAGTCCCGTTTATAATAATAATGAGTGGAAAACTGACACTAAGAGTGCTTACCTGTTAACACTAGAAAGTCTAAAAGCTGCCGAAATGTCTACTGTATGCCTCTGAAATATGCAAGTTGAGAAGTCTAAGAAGTCATACTCACCTGTTCTGTGGATTTTCAGTGTTCATGGAACATCGATTGGCATCCGTATAGTTTTAGGCATTCTTTGAACAATCTGCTTTATTAGTTGACAGTCTCTAGACATGTTTCCATGTGATATGTGACTCCTTCGGGGACAATAAAAGGATTATCCACCTAAGACATCAGTCTTGCAACAATCGGAACATATTTCACATGAACACACAACCTTTGTCATGGTGAAGATGCTCCTTGTGCAGTTCTGTGTGATTTCCATCAAGGGTAGTTCAAGTGCCCTTAGTAATTGCCATGACAGTTTAGCAGAAATAATAAAGCATTTAATTCTCTTTCAGTGTTTCAGAAATATATAACCATGACAATTTACCAGATACATAATGACTTAATAGGTATTTAAAAATTGCTTCTGTGTATCATGACACCTCCCCAATTCCCCTCCCTGAAGAGATCCAGTTTTAAAACTAGTTAGTTTGTCAAGTCACAACCTGCAATGGATTTGATTAAAAGGTAATCTTCAGTTTAATCTTTTTGTACAACTAAGTAAATTGTATTTATAAAGCAATTTGAAGACAAAATTATAAAGGCTTGTTTCTAAAATTTACTTTTAATAGATCTGCTCTAAAAGAATAACATATGACCAGCTAAATAAAATACACTTTTTGTGTGTTTAGTCTTCAGATACAGACTTGAGATGGTCTTTGGATAAGCCATCTACAGAGAGTGCAGGAGGCATATATCAGTATGATAATTATGATGAAGTTGCTATGGATACAGATAGTGAAACAAACTCTCCAGGTAAGATTTACTTATAGTTTTCTCATATGATGATCGGTGAAAATAGTTAAAAAGTAGGAAATGAGCTATCATTTTAGAAAGAAAGCCTTTCTTTTGAGACGTGGCAGTCATAGAAAAACATTTTAAGGTGAGCTAATCTGTCTTGTTTTAATGCTGACTCTTTCCTCTCCATCTCAGCTGTAGTGGTATTTTGATGGTCTTCAGGGTTATACTGTTCTCACTGCAGTACTGCAGAATTCATTATTCTACATTCCCAAGCAGATGTGTGGAAAGTAGGGGCTCTAGGGTGTGGACTGGATAGACAGCAGCTTTGCACATAGGGCCTGGGAGTCCCAGTGGGTGTGAAGTGACCTGTGGGTCCACAGTGTGGCTTTGGGTGATGAAGGTGAGCTGCAGCCTGGGTGGTCGCACTGCGACTGTCACTGTGGGCAGTTGGAGGGGCTGCCAAACGCTGGTGAGACCACGTCAGCTTTCTGGTTCCAGGGTAGGAGAAAGATAGTGACGTGCTGGGAGTTGTTGTCTAGCAGAAGACCTTTTTGACTAAGGGAAATTGTTTCAGGCTGTTTTTCATAAAGTTAATTGGCGACTGGAGCACTTGATTTGTGGAGAGACACTGAGAGCGCTCAGTTTGTGTTGAGAAGAGAAGGCTGAGGAAAGCTTTTGCTGCTGTCTTCAACCACCTGGTGGGCAGTTAGAGAAGACAGAGCCAAACTCTCCTGTGAAGTGTGCAACAGGAGGACAAGGGACAACACTTAAAATTGTAACAAAATAAATTCTGGTTAGATGTAAGGGAAAACTTTCACAGAGGGTGGTCAAATACTAGAACAGGTTAACTGTAAACATTGTGGAATCTCCATCCTCAAATATACTTGGAATTTGGCTGGACAAGGCCCTTAACAACCGGACTGTGGGGCACAGCCCTGCTTTCAACACCTGTGCTGGGGCATATTCCTTCCAGAGACCCTGTCTGGCCTAAATCATTTAAGGACTCTGAGCTTGAGGTACATTTTAAGGTATTCAGGTTTCCCTGTTCCATCTCAACATGCGGAGTGTTGGGAAGGTTTCATTAAGTGTACTACTTTATTGGCCACTTGCGTTCTCTTGCCTTTCATCTTCCATCTTTTTTTTCTTTTTTTCCTTTATTTTCTGCTTTCTTGTCGGGCTTCCTTATACATTAGTTTGTTAAAATACTGCACCTGCTGGTTTTGGCATGTAAGCTACATGAATCTTCTCTTGAAGCATCTGAAGCTCTAGTTTTATGTTTCAGAATTCAACATCAGTTATGTGTTTGGTCTGCTTCCGTTCTAATTCATATTGCATTTTTGTAAGCCAGTAATTGGGATACTCTGTGTTGAGATACCTTGTTTAAGAAGGTAGATTCTTGCAAATGAAATCAGATATGAGGGCTGAATCATTCTGAATCATTACCTTGCTAGTAGAGTTTGGCTGTACTTGCGTTTTGTATGTAAAATAGAAAAATGACAGGTAACTACTCTTTTTATATACATATATGGAAGAAATAAATGCACTGTGCTGTGTCTGTTACCTTTCAAATTGGTAAAAACATTTTTCTTCTACTGCATTACATCAGTTGAAGTATAAGCATGAGTTGGTGTTTAGTAATTACCTGTCTTATTTCTTACACTTGATTTTTTTTTTAATTACAGCTTCTTCCCCAGTGCAGCCTCCTTTCTTTGAGTGTCCAATAGGATATTTTCCACCTCCAGTTCCACCAATCTCCTTGCCACTGCCACCTCCAATTCCAGTAAGTAACCTTGAAAGAAGTGTATTTTTTAAAATATTGATAACTCTTATTTTGTATCTTATATCTAATGCTAAAATTAGAATTAAGTTTAGATTCTGCTTTTGATACATTTCTCTATTTGGTGATTCCCTTGAACTATCTGATAGACTTGTGATTGTTTTTTTTAAAAATATTTTACTTCAGCTACTTTTTGGCTTATCCAATTCCTGTTCAATGGAAGTTCTCCCTATTGAACTAAAATTTTCTCTTGTTAGATATGTGCTGTTTCACAACTGAAAGCAAAAATTACCTGAAGCATATAAGCAAAAATACTTGGAACTTAGTGCGAGGCAGTTTTACCTCTTATCTCTAGGCCATGTATGTAGATAGGCTTATTCTCTGACTTGTTACCTAGAGGAGAAAAAACCCAAAAATGTAGGTCATCACAGTCCTTCTTTCAGACTTTGTGTGTTTTGACTATATGCTGTCTACTCACCAAAGAGTCCACATGGAAACCGAGTTAGTGTGGGCTTTTTGCCAGCATGCTTCTTCACGGAATGATTCTTACCCTTCTTAGTAAAGCAGTAGAAAGCTGCCATTCCCTGCCATGACAGCTTCTGAATTTTTGACTAAGGGAAACTGTAATTTTGTTAGCTAAGACAAATTCATAAAACTGTTTAAGGATTTCTTTTCAAGCAGTGTGAACCTGTCTGGTCAGCCCTGTTTTCTGTGGCTGGACTATCTGGTTCTGAATCCTCATTTACATTTAGTTTGTACGTCTGCACTAATTTACTATCTAAATGTAACCTTGTTTCCATTATCTTCTTTGAGTAATTACTAAGTGTTCGGCAGCAGCCTTTGATAGTGGTCTAAATCCACTCCAGTTTGAATTAGTTTTAAACCATGAAATAATTTAGGTCTTAACCTCTGCTAAATAATCATAAAGTAGTAGTAATTTTCAAGTTTCGAACCCTTGTTTTTCTTTTTATCTCAGCCTGTACCATCTTTGAGCCAACTTTATGTGGAAGGTATTTCTTGTGTTTCTCTTGAGCCACCTCCACCTCTTCCACCTCTTCCCCCTGAAGAGCCTGAGCAGCCACCAAAACCTCCATTTGCAGATGAAGAGGAGGAAGAAGAGATGCTCCTAAGAGAAGAATTACTTAAGTCTCTAGCCAATAAACGAGCTTTCAGATCTGAGGTACTCCATTGTTTTTTGAATGTAAACCTCTAGATGGCAATCTTGACCAAAACTTAAATAGGATCTGCTAAGTGAGGATTACAGGCCTTTTTATGCTGCCTTTCTGATTACTTAAAAAAAAAAAAATATTAAAAACAGTTCTCTGTTTTTTTATCACCCTCTGCCCCCAAAATAAACCAAAACAAAGACCACCCCAGAGTGACTTTTGAATTGTAAATTGCAGCTTATCTTTTATTTCTGAAGGAATTAGAAACTTTAAGATTCTGAAAATTGAGTATGTTCAGGGGAATGAGGCTTTTATTTTTTTGCAGAAAAATGTTTATTGTATATCAGCTGTCACTTAGAAAACAAGACAACTTTGTTTCAACCTTCTAGCAAAAGGAGTTAGGAAAGGTTAACTGTTCTGGTTTTGGTTGTTTTGGGTTTTTTTTGAGTGAGAAGCCAAGTTTGTGGTTTTGAAAATTTAGATGATTTTTGACGTCATTAAAAGGTCACAGATCTCTTGCAGTTGACCTGTGAAAAACTAGCATATTCTTGTGTGCCTTTATGATATTATTGCAGAATTGCAAGATTTGTCTAATACATCTGGATAATCTGCCTAAATCACAATTCCAAGTTCCAAGACATGTATGGAACAATCTCATTTATGCTTATGTCTTTTAAAATAGCTGTGTATAGTGTGTGGTTTTTATGACTATGTTTTTGTTTTATTTTGTTAGGAAACATCAAGTAACAGTGGCCCACCTTCCCCTCCTGTTCCAGATAATTTGCAATCCGTGCCAAGAAGCAATTTGTCTGCTGTCAGTATTAATACTGTGTCCCAGCCACGAGTACAAAATACAAAGTTTGTTAGAGGACCAAGGCTTCCACGAGCAGTGATCACAGTAAGAAAATATTGGTGCTTTCTGTTAATAAGACTATGAGTTGGAGTCAAAGTCCAAGTGAACTCAGTCCAAGTGAACAGCAGATAGACTTAAGGTTTTCTAGTGATACAGCACAGAATGATGGAGCTTCAATTAAACATTTGAATTATTAGTAACTTTTATAATCCATGTGCTCTTTTAGAAAGAATTTGACACTAAGCATTACAGCTTGAGGGAGCATCAAAACACACTAGCACTTATCTGAACTGAAAGAGACTGTAAATACTGTTCAATTAATTTATTTTCCAGATTAGCACAGACTAAAGGGTGCTGTTCAATGGTAGCCGAGCCTACCTAATCACTGTTTGTTGCCAAAAAAAGAGGTGGTCTTGCTCTTTCTCATGCTCCTGGCCAAATGGTGTCTCCCTTCTTTTAAACTGGGTTCTGGAACCTCAGACCTCTTGCTTAACTTAATTTACATGCTAAAGTGGTTAAAAAACTAATCTTGAGGGGGGAAAAGTTAGTTTTCCTTCTAGGGAAGGTGAATTTTTTCAGTGAACAGTGTATGAGCATCAGAGCTAGCACAAAAGCGGTGGCAGATGGCGTGTCTGTGAGTGTGGGTGGAAGACAGAGGAGAGAGTATTTTCCTCTTCAGAAGGCAGCAGGCTTCGTTATATTAGCTCAAGGCAAGTTCTGTAACTTGACCTTCGTTTCAATGATTGTGGGAAATAATGTGCAGGTAGCATTTGACTTGTGATGTCTGCAGTCTCCTTGGATCGTTGGAGACATGTTAAAAAAATTTAATTTGCTTATGTTATGCTAGACTGGAAGCCCATGTAATCTACTGTTCTATTTATGGCAGCGAACCATCCATAGTAGATACTTTGTGATTGTTTTAACAATGCATGTTAACAAAGCTTGGTTTGTGGTAGCTCTTTCCTATGCAGATTTTCTAATGAAGAGTGCGGTTGAGTCCATACCTTTATCTTTCTGTCAGTGGATGGTGTATCTAAAAAACTATTTTTTTTTCACTAAATTTGGAGGAATATATAGTGTCTTTGAGACTGTTATATCACTGTCAAATCTAGCTGTAGCTGGCCAACAGCTTTCTTGCTCATATATAGAGACTGTATGATCACATGGTCACTTGATGCTGTAATGAAAAAAAGAAAGTGAGATGGTAGAGACATGAATGGTCTCTTTTTGGTCATTCTAAGGCCCACTTTCCTTTCTGTAGGAAAATTGTACTCTTAAGCTTAAAGTGGATGTCTTTTTTTTTTTGTCTGTACCAACCTTCATAATCTACTTTAAATTCTAGATATAAGTAGAGTAATTGTTCAATTTGCATGTGTTTATATTCTTTCTGTAATCATTTCACGTTTACTTTCATTAAGTGTTCTTGTGTTTAAATACTAAACTTCTGAAAAAAAACCTTAAATTACCACATGCTCTATTGTCCTGTTGCATAAATGAGGGAGAACACATGTTATTGGGGAGCTGTTGGTTTGTTTTAGTAACATAATAAATGTCTCTTATCAGCTGTGCTGTTGAAAGGCGTTATGTAAATGTTAGACCTGCAGCTGAAATTCAGTGCCTGTTGCTAATGATGGTTAGCTTAGTTTAAAGCTGACAGATTAATACCTTGTACTTGAATCAGCTACCTTGGCTAGTGTCTTTTTTTACAAAAATGATAATAGAAACAAAGCATTTTACATTTGTTAATTTTTTCAAAATAGCTTGGGTTATAGAGTATTTGTATATAAATAGATGTGTGTTTTAAAGAACTTATGGCCAAATAATATTCACAGGAGGCTAGTCACAAGGTATTTCTGTCCTCTGTGAAAACAATATCAATTACTCCTGTAAGTTCAAGCTTTTAAGCACAATTTGTATTGAATGCTTATGGCTTTATTTGTATTTGGTATTTCTTACTAGAGCCTAAGAAACAGTGAACTCAGGAGAGTTTTGAACTTAAAAACTGATAGTTTTTCTGTGAGCATTTTTTGGTATATCCAGAAATGAAAACGTCACGAAGGTATAGAAATAGTAAATTCTTCAGGTGTTTGAAATCTAATTTTGTTGTTTTGAGAGCTTGGTAGCTTTTGAATGTTTGAGTATGCTGTACCATATTTCAGAAGAGGTTTTAAATTCAGAAACCTTGAGATTTCTGCTGTGAAGTTGAGGACCTCTGCATAGTGAAATAGCCTACAGATACTAGTTTTTTCAATGACATATTGTAACCCTGTTTCAAAGTAGTCATGGACACTCTCAGGTCTGTTCACCACAGATTGGAAATACATCTTAGACATGGAGAGATTCTGTGTTACAGCTGAGGCTGTGGTTCTCTTGCAGTAGAAGCTAATCTTAATGAACGCAGTGTGGTGGTAGTTGCCTGGTGTTGATCGCTGATGGTTAAGCATTTTGCTGAACCACATCAAAAAATAACACCTGGGAAAAAGCACTTGGAGAAAAGCTGACTTTGACCCTCCCTGCTCTCAGCTTTTCCCCTAGAAGAAAAATGGGGAAGGCAGTTAGAGACAGTTAACTCTACACAGGTGTGCCAAAAGCAGCTTGGATCTTTTAATACCAAGAGCCAGCGATCGGGAAGGGATGTACTGAGCATCTGAGGATGAGGGGAAGGGTGAGGTGCCTTGCCTGATTAATTTAGGTTTCTGTGGAGCTAGAGCCAGAGAATATTTGTGAGGAGAGGACCAGTACCTTGTTCCGTTTTCTTGCACCAGTATAAATTGGGATTTCACCTACCTGTACAATGGTGGTGCAAAAATGATGCAGCTGTAATACATTCAGGAGTAGTAAATGTGGTCCTTATTTTAAGAGCTGCCCTGAAAGAGAATTTAAAAAAAACTACTGTGGAAATCGGGTATTTTTTGCTTTAAAAAGTAGGGAGTTTGTGAGGTGTGTGCTTTAAAAGACACTTAGAGCTTTGAAGAGATCCTGTCCTGAGGTAAAGGTTAAATGTGTAACTGTAGTTGTCCCGACCTAGACTGGGAGGTGGGAAGAGCAGTCCTGGAAATGTGCACCAAATTGCTTGTTTTCAAGCTGAAACTCCAGAGCATTTGAGGTTAATCTAAATTGTCTGCTTGTTTCTGCATCTGTCTTTGTGCTGGAATTGGCAGTCATCTGATCTTCAGTGAGCTTTCCGTTAGTTATGTTGGCAAAAAGTGATTCGTCTTATTTCATTTGTTCTTTATGTACTGTTGGTGTTCTGCCAATTCAACTGCCTGAGCAGCTCACTGTAAGGACAGCTAAGTATAACTGTAGAACAAGAGGCATCACAGCTGTGTGGCAGAAAGATGAGGGAGTTCTGATGTCTGCCACAGCGTTTCTGATGCAGAATTGATTGATTGTTGCCTCTCAGTTACTTAAAGAAATTGCTTTCAAATGGCTGATGGTGATTTTCATTACAACTGAAATAATTCATGAAGTATAGGAATCAAAGGTTTGAGATTTGTAAATAGGAGGATGTAAATATGCTGCAGAGACTTGGAAACAGGTTGAAAGTGTTGGAGAACCTTTCATGTTACAGTACCAAGAATGGGTACAGTATGTTTATCCTGTAGTAGAGATACACAAATGCTTAGGTTTTCTTACAATGTGGAATTGATATGTCATGATAACAAAAAGGGTTAACGTTCTTTTTCTCTTTTAGTAAATATATGCTCAGTTTGTGTGTCGTAGTAACTTTTTCTTGCTATAAAGCTTTTTTCATTCTCTCCACAGCTTCCAAAGCACAAGTCTGTTGTGGTTACATTAAATGACTCGGATGATAGTGAGTCTGATGGAGAGCCATCTAACTCAACTAACAGTGTGTTCGGAGGACTAGAATCTATGATAAAAGAAGCAAGGAGAAATGTTGAGGTAAACACTATCAGTATTTAATAGGTTTGTTTGGTCAAGAAATACTGAATTACATCAGAAATGGGCAAGAGTGAGTACATTACTCCTGTCTGGACCACTACATTGTAATTTGGGTTGCACAAGCTAATTAAAATGAATTTTTGGTTAAGACAGCATTCTGACGGTAGAATTTGTAATGTATTTTGGTTTCATTTTTTAATTAAAATTCAGTGCATCTTTAGTTATTAGCAAAAAAAATTGGCTTAAGAGATCTCACTAGCCTTCAACAGCTTTGTTTGTGCTGAAATGCCTCTTACAAATAGTAGTTACTAGCTGTTGTTTTAAACTTAGTGTGACTGGTATTGACTTGAACTTCATTGTAACAGGCCTCAAAAATCAAAGCCCCTCCAAAATCAGAAAAAGAAAATGATCCAATGAGAACTCCAGAGGCTCTACCAGAAGATAAGAAGATAGAATACAGACTCTTAAAAGAAGAGATTGCCAGGTACAACTGAGTTTAATTGTTAATGTAAAATGTATATTCTTTATAGTCCTTTAATAGTCTATTTTTGTAACTGGAAGGAAAATCTGAGTTAGAAAACCTTGTCATTATCTTCAGATTTTTCCCCTCACTCAATTTTTAGTAAGACAACATTGGAGTCTAAAGAAAGTCCTGGGATTTGAACTGACTTACAGTAATTGATTGCAGTTGTGGAAAGTTCTTATTCTTTTAACTTGCATTTTTGTCCTGCTACTTTTTTTTTAAGATTTTAAAACTATTGGGAGTACACATGGAAATGAATGTTGAAGCTACTGAACATCTTTGCTTTTAACATCTCTGTTTTAGTCGTGAGAAGCAACGCTTAATTAAATCTGATCCGCTGAGGAACAATTCGTCCCCTGCAAATTCTGATGGTGAAGTTGATGGAATGGGCAGAATAGCGGTAGTGACAAAACAAGTCACAGAAGCAGAAGCAAAGCTTAAGAAAAACAGGTACATACTTCACTGTCATAAGTCCTACCTTGTTTGCTTGGAAGGATGAAAATATTAACTCTTTGAGTGTGTGGCGTTTGAAGTACAGCAAACAGTTGGGTTTCTGTTGTCTTGAACTATTTAGTCTTGAGTTCTGTTGCTGTACAAGAGGAATTGTGTTGTAGTGCCAGTGTGGTGTTTGATGGTAAATTTTAAGTATGATCTGTCACGCTAAGTGTTTTCAGCTGTGTATGTTCAGTGACCAGAGTATCATCTGTGCCACCTAGCAACTCTGAAATATGCCTGATTTTATATATATGTGTGTGTAAAAAAAATTAAAAAAAAAATAAAAAAAAAATGAATGTTTCTGCTGAATCGATGTACTGTTTGAAGCTTTTCCTGTATGCCTATTCTCTGTTAGCATGCCTCTTACATGTTTCTCACCCTTCTTTCAAGTTATTCTGGAAAATGTAAATGCTTTGCATCCTTCTTCTCTGCTTCTGTTGCCACTTGATTATTTCTGTGTGGTCTTGGGAACAAGCTGGTTCATGGTCAGACATCAGCTGAAGGACATTATTCCCCCCTCACTTTGTTCACACCCATCTATCTAAGTCTTTGTCTTGCTTACTTCAATACATAGCTTTTTATATTCAATTACTCTGTTGTTGTGCCATAATACTACAGCTTGCAGTCTGCTAATGGATGTATGCACCCTAAGGAAGAATTGGGCTGTTACTTAACAGAAAGCAAGAACATATGTGTTTTGAATGTTTTAAGGTTAAAAGCACTATTAAAGATACACCATTAGCTTACCTTCCCCTGTCCTCATAACTAGAATGTTTTTATCTACTTAGTACTGACATGCTGAACTTAAGATACTGAAATCTGCTGTATGTGCTACTGATATATATTGTCTCATGGATGTTAAGACTGACTGAGGAAACTTAGAATGTTGTTTGTTGATAAGTGAAAAAGAACTGGGTTCTTAAATAACTAGGGTTTCAGAGGAACATTGATAGCTCTGAGAAACTTAACCTTGGAAAAAAAATTTCTTACATAGCTTTTCTACTTTTAGACTTCTGTTGATGAAGGATGAATCTGTCTTGAAACATTTGTTGCAACAAGAGGCCAAGAAGAGAGAGAATGTTCGAATTGCCGAAAATAAAATTAACAAACTGGCTGAACAGCTACAAGCAACAGAGAAGATCTTGAATGCTAATAAGATGTTTCTCAAGAAGCTTCAAGAACAAGTAACTTTAATTTTGACATATTTCTATTTCCTAGAGCTGGAAATCTTGAAATGGGAGGCCTGATTTTTGGAGGCAGTAGGCTTTCTTTGAAATAATCTTTAATTTCCAAGTCTTCTCTGATTATATTTTATTATGTGGTCATATCTGAAAATTTGCGTTTTACTATAGTTTTTTCTTTTTTCAGATTCATAAAGTTCAACAACGAGTTACAGTTAAAAAAGCTCTGGCATTAAAATATGGGGAAGAACTGGCTCGAGCAAAAGCAGTAGCAAGTAAGGAAATTGGGAAACGAAAACTGGAGCAAGATCATCTTAGAGTAAGTCTGTTGCATGCTTTTAAACCATGCTGTAGTTGAAAAGCAGTAGCAATTTTGATTAGGAAACTTAGTGCAAATGAGATTTTGGCAAAATAGGAAAACATTTCAAAAGCCCTATAGGAATCTTCCTATTGATTTCCTGTATTTTTGAGAATTCAGCAGAAAAAGCATTACTAATTTAAACAAGAAAACTATTCAAAGCCTACATTTCTGTGCCAGGGGAATGTCATTAATAGATAAACAATAAGAGCAACTATATGCCTGTGAAGGAAGTACTTTACTGTCTGTAGACATCAGTGATCTGGTTAAAACTACCTAGCAAAGGTGCTGAAGAAGGAATCTGGTCTTGTTCTAAAAAACAAGGCTAAAATATTTTTGTGAGTTTTTCTTTTTGTGTCCTCAACACCACTGTATATACTTGTTTTATAACTTTCCTTTTAAATGTGGCCAGAACTTCTCCTGTATGTGGTGTAGGGTAATCTTTATCAAAAAACCTACAAACCTGCCAGTTGAATTGTGGCGAACTCTTTTGTGGTTTTCCTGCTGTTTGTTGAAATTTTCTGGCAAGAGTTTAAAATATGTTTTTATAAAGTCTGAATTAAATATCTTGCCCATGTTTCATTTACCTCCTGTCAATAGATCAGTAAATGTGAAAATGAAATAAAGGGAATTTTCTTCTTTTTAGCCAAGCAAAATGTTGAAATTGGAGAACTCCCCTGCATCAAGTCCAAAAAAGCATTCAGCAGAATTGATTGCACTAGAGAAAAAACGACTACAGCAACTAGAGTATGAATATGCTCTAAAGATTCAGAAATTGAAAGAGGCCCGTGCACTTCAAACCAGGGAACAATCAAATATTGCACCTCATGCGGAAGAGGAATCTGAATTTGCATTACCTCAGCCATCACTTCACGATCTTACACAGGATAAATTGTCTTTGGACAGTGAAGAAAACTACTTTGATGATGAAGTTCTGTCTAATTCAAGCCGAGAACGAAGGAGATCTTTCCGAGAATCTAATTCTTTCACTAAACCAAATCTTAAGCACATGGACACTCCAAAACAAGAAACTGTAAACAAACTTTCTAAAAAGGCATCAGAGGAGCCTGAGCTGTTCCTTGGGTTGAATATTGATGAACTGAAAAAACTTCATGCTAAAGCTGACAGCTTGAAAGAGCTGCTAGTGAAAAGTACTGAGTTTATAGTACCTAAAGAAGATCTGTTATGTGGTCAGGTAAATGCTTTAAAACTAAATATGAAGGTTGTCTTTATTAGGTGATATTGCAGTTGCTTTATGTCTGTTTATCTGTTTCCTAGGAAATTTCAGTGGATATGGATTTTGTTACATCGCAAAATAAACAAACTGAAGTGAAACCATTTCCGTTTGGACCGTATCATAGTCCTCTTCTAGTATTTAAATCCTACAGGTATGAAGACTGTAGCAGCTCTTTGATTTCTGTGTGTTATGTGTTCTTATTTAGGTGTTCTTCACTGCTCTACCTTGATACCCAGGAGGTGTGTACAGGAAGACAAGTTCCAGTGAGAAACTTGACTATCCTGAAATGATTTTGTCTAGTTTAGGGAACCTAATGTTTTTATTTACTTTTTTCTGGTATGCAGGAGTCCTTTGCTTGTGTGCAGTATGCTGCTTTTACATTGTGTTGTGTAGTGTTCCCTGCAACTGGATTGTTGTTTGATATAACTAAAAAATAACAGTTAAGCATTTGAGAACAGGATTTTTGTATCCACTATGAAGCAATCTAAAGTCCAGGAAAAAATTAACAGAAGCGTATTTCAATTATGCAGTCTTTAAACTTGGCTAGGATTTACATTGTCTGAGTCGATTGAGCCAATCACTTATTTTTAGGTGCCTGCTCAGTGGAAAGAGGCATGACCACAGTGATTCATCTTGACTTAAAGTAGGCACCTGCAAGTGTAATCTATTTGACGCGTCTGTCTTCTGACTAGAGAGCTTCGTTCCAACACGTTACACTTTAGAAAACAAAAGTCTGGAATTTAAACTGGAGCACTTGAATTCAGATTTGTTATTTCGATACTCTTTAAGTAGCAGAAGATGGAGGATGCTATCTTTACAGGAGTATTTGTTTTAACTTCTTTAGGTTATGGCTGCAGTTCCTTAAGGAGCTAGAAGTCCCAAAATTGACATATTCCAACTTTAGCTAAAGATTTAAAACAAGCATTAGTCTGCTCAGCTCAGACTGGTTCTTGTTTGTTTACACGTTCTGTAATCTGATGTGGATTTTTTCACTGTTTTTTCAGGTTAATCTTTCACAGTTGTCTATACTTTTGTTTGATGTTACGCTGAGCATGAGTGCAGTTTTTCTAGACTAAACTGGAATTCAGTTTCAGTAGTTTGCTTTCCCCACTGGGTCATTACTACACTTGCTGTTTTTATATGAATGAAGTTCTGCACCTAAGGTAGAAGTGAATGCTAGAAGAGAATCTATTTAGATTGGGAAGTACTGGTTTGTTCCCTCCCTCTCTCACTGTTTTCATCTTCCTCTTAACTCATAAGTCAGCAATGCTTTTGGTTAGTAGTAGGGTTTTGGAAATAATGAGATTTAATACAGAAAAAGTGAGTACTTTTTTTGAATTTTTTTTTTTTTCAGTAAAATGGATGTCTTACCTTGTATCACAATAATTCACTGTTTCATTTTAGGTTTAGTCCGTATTTTCGAACCAAGGAAAAACTGTACCTCAGTTCAATATCGTATAGCAATATGATTGAGCCAAAACAGTGTTTCTGCCGTTTTGATTTAACAGGCACGTGTAACGATGATGACTGCCAATGGTGAGTTCTTTTTAATTTTGTTCACTCGAACTAAACATCTCTTCTAAATGTCCAATTGAAAGGCCGAAATAGGAGGCCAAAATAGGCATGCTTTTCATTTCTTTAAAAGATTTAGATTTATGATCTGATGCACAAGTTCTGGAAAAGAAAATTATCTTTAATATCCTATTTCGGATACTTGATTGGCAGGGGAAAGAAAAAAAGCTTTTATCTAAGCCAGGAAGAAAGGAGGCTCTTTAGATGTAAATTTAGTGAAGCAGTATGGACTGTTAGAGAATACTTCAACTTTGCTTGCCTTGTAATTCAGGTGGGACTCCTTGCTCTTTATAGCTTCAGCATAACTTCAGACCAGACCATGATAGAACCTCAGGTAGTGGTTGATAGTGTTAAGCACACTGGAGATGTATCATGCTGCTAACGGAAATAAAGCATGTACCAAATATTATGTGATTATTTCAAAAGAAGCCCCAACTATTGCAGTAGTGGATTTCTAGTTTACTGTGAAAATACTGGCTAAGTTTGTTTGTTTGAAGCTTGGCGTTAACTTATCTTAACAATGTTGCACAGGATATTTAAAAAGTTAGTGTAAGAGCAAATGGATATGACTTGGTCAGGAATAAACTCAATTTGGAAACTTCTAACTATTAGGAAAAATATAATAGAATGGACTTTAGCTGTTTATTTTTGCCCTTTTCTGTGGCAGACAGCTTTTTGGATCAGCTTTTAACTGTTGCCACCAAACCATAGTGAGATATCACTTGGTATTTGAAAGATTAAAATTCTTATGACTACCCTGTTTGAACTGGAAAGTTCTTGTGGGTTTGTGTTAGCGCGAAGTGAGTGTATAGAGGTTTATTTTAAAGAGAAGGCTGTAGTGAAATAGCGAAGCCTAGGATTAAGTTGCTGATGCAAACTTAAAGTGTAGGGACGACCAAGATGTTTTTAACAGATTTCAAAGCAGCCTGCAGCATTTTCTGTTGGTATAATTTTCTTTGTGCCTCACTCCTAGCATGTACTAAAACCAAATTTCTAGCTACAAGCCTTATTAAATTGTTGCTGTGGTAAACATTAATTGTTTATTTGTTTGTTTTAGGCAGCACATGAAAGATTGCACTCTTAGCCGTAAGCAGCTGTTTCAGGATATTCTCTCTTACAATTTAGAACTGATTGGCTGTTCGGAAAAAAGCACCGATGAGGAAATCAGCACTGCTACAGGTTTTTAAGAGTCTTTTTGTTCACTTTTGTATACAGAGATTCATTTCTGAAGGGAATGGCTTTCATTAAAAGCTCTGGGTGCAAGGACTTTGGTGTAGAGCGATGTATAATGTACAGCTATATGGAAAACATAGGCTTCTGCAGTTGTTCGGTTCAGTCCTTTGTAGTGGGTAGTGACCTTGGTGTCTTTACAGAAAGAAAATATCAATAATCTGTGGAACATTTCACTAAAAAAAAAAAAGTATTGCTGTGATTCAGGGAATTGGGGAGCATAGGCACGAAATCTTTCCCTCTCCCCTTCCTCGCTTCTTTTTAACTATTGGACTGGTCTGTTTCAGTGAAGCTGGAATTTCACAACCCCACTGTTGTCATATAGGCAAGTTCTGAACAGAACTCTTCCATTTTTTTTGTTTCTTTGTTCTAGTATGCTAAATTACCATACCTCTTGAAGCAGTCATATTTTCTTGAATTCAGCTTAGGTTGTGCTAAATTGCTGTTAAGTTACCTATCCATTTTCGTTTATGTGTTTAACTAAGATACAAATGTTCTTATTTCAGAGAAATATGTTGAAAAACTTTTTGGTGTAAACAGAGACCGTATGTCAGTGGATCAAATGGCTGTTCTTCTGGCCAGCAATGTCAATGAGAGTAAAGGTCACAGTAAGTAACTTGGTAGATTAAAAACAATATAAACTTTTAAAAATTATATTAGTACCTTGATGATTTTGTAAACCAAGATTATTTTTTTTGTTGCTTAGTTTTTTTTATCTTAGTATTACAGATTCTGCTTATGGTAAACTGAAGGCAGCAGAGTTTGTTTTAAAGCAATAATATGATAGTTTTGGAGCCTAGTTTGGAAAAGTGACCTATGCACTTGAGCAGAATAGATTTTAAATAAGTAGTGTTGAAACTTACACACTTGTTTTACACTCACAGAATGTTTTTATGTAAAATCTTTATTAGCAAATATGTTTTAATCTTGAATACAGAAAAGTAAAAGAGTTTATTCTACTCTGCTTGTTTACAGCACCTCCATTTACAACGTGGAAAGATAAAAGGAAATGGAGACCAAAGTACTGGAGAAAACCTCTGTTAGACAGTAGCAGCAGTGAAGAGGAACAGTTCATTGGACCTATTAAATATGGTAATCTGGATGTGTGACATCCATTAAAAAGAATACTGGGGGAAAATACCTACCAACCTCTTCCCAACAGCTAATTTTTGAAGTGATTCTTAAGAAAACTGAAGCTTTTAATAGAATCATAGAATCGTTAGGGTTGGAAGGGACCTTAAAGATCATCTAGTTCCAACCCCCCTGCCATGGGCAGGGAAACCCTGCAATACACCAGGTTGCCCAAAGCCTCATCCAACCTGGCCTTGAACACTTCCAGGGATGGGGCATCTACAACTTATCTGGGCAACCTGTTCCACTGCCTCACCACCCTCTGAGTGAAAAATTTCTTTCTTATATCTAATGGAAGTCTGCCCTCTTTCAGTTTAAAT